TTTTTCTTCATTTGTACTACAGATGTATAAGCATCGTGATGGAATCACATGCCATAGTAAATTAGATGTTTACTGAAATAAGTATCAGTTGGCATGACCGGTCGGCCACCCCGGTTCAATTATGATGCGAAAAGTTGATTGAGAATTCACAATGGCATATATTGAAGAAGTAGAAGGTTCTTCAAGAATTCTCTTGTGCTGCTTATTCTCATGATATACCAGTTAAGGTTGAGATTGAATCCCTTGATATCTGGAACGAATAAAAGGTGATATATATGTATGGGCCCAATCACCTGCCATGTGGATCGTTTACTATTATATGATTTCAATAGATGCATCTATTGTATGGTCACATGTGCTTTGTTGTCAACTTGCCGTTTGGCTTTTGCAAGGTTGCTTGCTCAAATTATTAGAGCATAATTCCAGAATGTAAATTGTGATGATAATGCTGGTTTAAATCCAAGTTGGTTTAGTAGAAATTGTTTGCCTCAGTTATAGCTAAACCATTGGTTATGAGAACAAAACTTCAAATAGAAAATTTGTATTAAGTGTATTATTTAATATACAACAGCACTTGTACGCATCTAGCCAACAAGTTATGATAAATTCTCCCCATCACAATTGGTTCAGGGTCAGGGACCAAATATTTTCATCTAGAAATATGGATGTACTATATGATTTAATTGTGCCACCACAATGCACAAAGATTGGTCTCAATGAAGGTTGGGGATATGTGTTGGTGATCCCAACATTAGGGGGAGAAAATGAGCAGCTGAAAAAAAAAAGTAATACATGGAATGAATTATTATGAGTATATTAGATCCTCGTACAAGAAAATATGAACTTGAAGTTCAAGTGATAATTCATTTTCAAAATATTTCCATGCGCATTGCTGACCCAAAACTAAATGTCATATTTCAGCTACTAATGCTCCAAATAGAATAAAGTCCATGATGGACATAGTCTATGGAACTCTTGAAGCGTAATAGACATATCGGTTCCAAAGATAAAACTCCTTGAAGAAGGAGAGGAGCAAATGTTCAAGATGGTAATAATGAGGAGGCAAGTGCTTTATAAAAGCACCATGACATAACATTTTATAAGACCTCATGGGAGAGGCTCAGGTACCTGAAAATAATGAGATCTCGATAAGTTATGTCTTTATTATGTGATGATGGAACCGATGTAAAATGATCGTTAACGATGTTGTTAATATAATGTAGCGCTCAATATTATTAATATTGACGAGGATCTTGAGCTCAAATCTGTCATGGAATTTGGACAGATAAATGATTGGCCAAATGAAAAATATGCAATGAAAATTGACTTCATCTGAAAAATATGAAGTTGGACGAATAGTCCCAACAACTGAAAGTATAAAGGCTATATGGAGATATTGAAATATGATTAGTATTATATTGCAAAAATAATCCTTGATATAGATTTGTTTATTCTAACAAATATTGTCAAGGTTTTGTTGTTTATGCAAATGCAGGCATTTATTGAAGTCCGTTCTTCAAACAATCTATTTGTATGTGAGGAATTGTCATATTATCATTTCACAAGATGTGTGACTTTTCTTTGAAGAGAAGATTCCAATAATAATGAAGAAGCTGATGTTTGCTTATCTCAATTGAAAGAAGAATATTGAAGGAGACTGAATAAATCATATATTTCATCAAAGTTCTTTGTCAGACACGATCTTCAACAGAATGATGAAATAGGTGTTCAAGAAATTCCTTCAAGTGATAATTTGGCGCAATAATTCACGAAGGCATTGCCAATCTCAATATTAGAGAAGTTGTTATACAAGCTTGGAATTCGTCGTCTCCGAAGAATAAAGTGATGTTTTCATCAGGGGGAGGCAAATACGCGCTGTACTTTTTTTTCCTTAGCTAAGATTTTATCCCNNCATTAAACATTTGAGATCATGGAGGAAGATCATGGGGAGGTTATGGAGGTGTGGGAGTTACAACTATAATGGTGAGAAATAGTGGGAGTTATCTACATAATGAAGAAGAATAGTGGGAGTAACTTCTTTAGGAGTTGTAGACATCCACTACAAAATAATATTTCATAACATTAGGTTAATTTTTGGTCTTATATTAATTGGTCCACGCAAGTCCACCCTTCAAAGTGGACCCTTTGTCTTCTCTTTGGGAAATGCATTTTTCAACTTAAACATTTTTATCCAAAACGTCTAGGATTGATAGAATGCTCGCAAGTCCTATCCTATGCAATATTAAGATGGGATTTTTTCATACCTATACACTATTGGAAACTTTATTACCCTACATGTTCATGTTTAAGTAATTACCCGGCATAAACAAGTTTTATTTACAAAATATATGCATTCCACCTTAAAGACTCACAATCCATTATTTGTGTCTTCAGTCAAGGGATTTAGTTACACCATTTTCTTTTTTCTCTCCTCTCTCTCCTTTTCTCTCCAAAATCGGAAGCATAAGGAAAAAAATTAAGTTTTGATAACAATAATAAACGACAACCTTCATGAAAAATCCAATTACGTTATCTAATGCTTAAGTTGAGATCGGAAGCCTTTCTTGAAGATATTCACAGTTATCTAAAGAAATTTTCACCATTCCATGTTAGGATCAGAAGAAGAAATGTATGACTTCAAGGCAAGAAGATCAGATTCATCAGTGCTAATATTGGGAAATGTAATTGTAGTCCATTACTCTATGGACGCCTTTTGCACTCGGTAGATATGAACTGGAAATATCGGTTTTTCTATAAGGGAAAAAAACCAAAAAATCCACAGGAAAAAAAAACAAATTTCTGAAATTAGTTTTGAACACATCTGCTTAAGCAAAATAAAATGGAAATAATCGATACAAATTTGGTGAATTCAATCATCACGTAATAGTTAAGTACCATAAATACATATTTTTATACAATAGTGGAATTGCTGATCTCTTTTCCTTTGCTTTACATTACTAAAATTAATTAGGGATTGAGAGATAGAGAGAGACATAGAGAGAATTTCCAGTTCTTTGCAACAACACCCAATCCAAACAAATAATATTTTTTGAAAACCCAAATTCGAATTCAAAGCTTCTAAGTTTTAAATGGTTGTCAATGGTGGAATTGCTGCTCTCTTTTCCTTTGCTCTACACTACTGAGAGAGAGAGAGAGAGAGAGAGAGAGAGAGAGAGAGAGAGAGAGAGAGAGAGAGAGAGAGAGAGAGAGAGAGAATAAGGATGGAAATTAATTGATTCCTAATATAAAGGGATACTCATTTAATTCTTAAAATATATATAATTGGTAAATTTGTATATAGGAGGTAATTAAATTGAAACTTGAGTAGGGAGGGTAATAAGGTTT